ATCTGTACTCACCCTGAACACCCACACTCCTGCGTCATCCCCTTCCCCACATCCTGCTTTTTTGTGTATATAACCCCTGTGTGAAAAAAAGTAAAATCGGCGATTTGATCAGACTATAGACAGATTGCCATTTTTGCATCTTTGCCTGTTTTCCCCCTCTCTCTTTCAAGTGACCTCCCTGGAACACTGTTTAATGCCCTACTGGACAAGACAAAGATGGAGGCTAGAGAATGGGTGAAGACCTTTTGTAGTTACCTGTTTCAAGGAAATGTGTGTCTAGAGTCTACAAAGAATTAAAAAAAAAATTCAACATCAAGACAACAAACAAATGGAGCAAAACCTGTGTCAAGAAACCCAAGAATGCTACCAAAAAGAGAACAACAAATGCCTCATCCCCAGTTTTTAAACTTTTTAACATTATTAGCCATCAAGGAAATAATGTAAAAACTACTTTGAGAGCTTATCTCACTCCAGGTGAATTGGCCATCGTCAAAAACAAAAAAAAAAAGACAAAATGTGTATGAAGCCTTGGGAAAAGGAAAGAAAATCTAAATATGAAGGGATGAGAAAGGAGTAGATATAGGTAATTAGCAAAAGTATTGAAAGAGAATATATGGCTAACTGTTGTTTCAATTCTATGTCTGACACAGAGTTGCGGTTTTGGTCATAGATAATTGCATAAATTGAGGCGATATTGAAAGTATAACACTTAATGTGAAGCTCACAGCTTATTTTTGAATATGAATTCTAACACACACACACACACACACACACACATATATATATTTTAACTAAGTTGTACACAATTTGAGTATCATTAGTCTTGGTATATTTTATTTGAAGTTTCTTTATAATACAAAGTTTAAATAAATTTTATAACATTTAAAAAAAGTTTTAAAAAGAAAATGTTGGAGAAGAGAAACACTGGTGGGAGTGCACACTCACACAGTCACTATTGAAACCACTGTGGACTTTTCTCAAAAAATTGAAAACAGATTTTCATGAGACCCAGCTATCCATATTAATTATATTCAAATTACTTAGGTATATACTACTATATATATATCCAGGTGTATATTATTATGTACTTAGGTGTAGACTACTACATACTTAGATGTATAATATTATACACTTAGATTTACACTACTATATACTTAAGTGCACACTACTATGTACATAGGTATATAATACTACATTACACACTTAGGTGTATGCTACTATGTAGTTAGGTGTATACTCCTATGTACTTAAGAATATACTTCTAACAGGTAGTTGAACATCTGTACTCATTACAACTCTACTCACAATAGCTAGAAAACAGGTTCAGCCTCTGTGCCCTTCAACTGAAAAATAGATAATGAAATTGTGATGTGGGTACACAATGAAATGTCATTCAATTATAAAAATAAAATCATGAACTTCTTAGAAAAGTAGATGAAACTGGAAAATATACTTAATGAGGTAACCCAGGCACAGATAGACAAATAGTATATGTTCTCTGTTATATAAGTATCCTAGATAAATTCTTAGCGTGTTTAACTTGAAGTACATATAAAGAACAGAAAGCTAGATAGAGGCCATTAGAAGGAGAACAAGAAAAGGACATCTTAAGAAAAGAGTCATTCCAGAACACTTAATATGGAAATAGAGGGAATGAATATGAGAATGAGGTGGTTGGTATAAGCACAGATGGGATGGTAAATATGAAAATGACTTATGGAATCTCAGTTTCAAGCTTATTAATATATTAGTCAAGGTACCTTGCATAGGTAGAAAACACTGCTTGTAGAAGTCATAGGTTGTTAAATAAAAGCTCCATTGCTAACGTTGGGAAACTTCCCTAGGAATTGTTGCCTGGAAAATGTCTGAGGATCCAAATAATACAGGCAATTTTCACTGCTGTCAGTTGCCCACAAAAAGTAGTTGGTAAGACCCTATTACTAAAGAAATCCTTATACTCTTGTCGTGGCACATGAAGAAAACAATCTGGGAGTGGTCTGGACTATGCCTTTCTGCTGAATAGTCCTCACAGTGTGATGAAGCTGTTATTAGGGTATTGTCATCCACATTTACTCTGCTGTTGACACTCTGATCTATACTTCAACCATCCTTAAAAAATATGCTCACTGGTCAATAATGGCTATTATGCTATGGAGTAAATAGTCATTTTTTGATTTTTATTGAAAAGAGTTCAGAGCTAGTCTAGTCAACATGGTCAAATGCCTCTGTTGGAAACGGAATAGATCATAGTGTTTAAGCTGTCATTGTTATTCTGCTATATGGACATGATGTGAAAATCAAATTGTCTTCCAAATAGCCACGTTTTGTTTTCGTATATATGTTTACTCTCAGCTTGATCAAAAGATGTGTCTTATATTTGGAAGTGGTAATTTGAGACTCAAAACTAGCCAACATGCTGAGAATAAGTGCCCTTTTGGTGTTCTCTATAAATGAGACATCTATAGCCCACAGTATAATCTTAGGAAACATCAAGAAGGAAGGGATGAGAATAATTTAAGACACTAAAGATGGAATAGAATGATGTGGAATATTGTCTTCTATATATGCCATGGCCACAGCACTCTTGAATTCATAGTAGCTGTGGTTACTGGTCAAGGTCTCCAAAAACTAGGCCCGTCAATATAATATCAAGGAGAGAGGAGGTGCTCCCAAACCCGTACCCATTTTTTGAGCATTTATAAGCAGTTAACAGTAGCTAGGGTAAGGGATCATGAGATCCCCCTCATTCCAGCATCTATAGAATGTTATTGATTGCTGGTGGAGAGATTTTTTTTCAGTAGAGTAGCTACTGGTAAGGTTCCCATGTTCCTGCAAATGACTTCTTGCCTTTGCTTTAGTAAGCAACCCCAGTGGAATTTACTGGGTCAAAAGCACACACATCATGAAAAGGAATATGAAAGTAGAAAGGAGAGCTACTTGGGAAAAGGAACGGATCAGCAAGAATGGGAAAATGCAAGAATGTTAAGTTGGTTATTATTGCTATCAAAATATCTGTATACATGCATGGAATAATAATAAAAGACTATATTAGATATAATCAATATATTAGATGTATTATGTATAATGTAATTATTATATAATTATATTATATACATTATATATAGTATATATTATATAGATATATTATATATTAGATATGATCAATATATTTTAATAAAAATTTATATAAAAAGAAGTATAAAGAATCCCTTCTCCTACTTTTGAGACCAATAAGAGATTAGGATTTACAGTAGTTAGAAAAATCCATTTTAATGAAATGGTGGATGACCAAGCTAATGTATATGATTTACACAAAGCCATTACAAAAAGACTAAGAAAATCCACAAATGAGAAGCATTGTAGGAAGAAAATAGCATTTGTTATTTTTCTGTTGCTGTGATAAAACAACAACATGGAAAACACTTATGGAAGAGAGAGCTTGTCCATGGCAGGAATATCCATAGGAACAGGAAGCTAGGATTTCATTTCCCTTGCTACAAGCAGAAAGTAGAGGGAGTACACTGGAAGTTGCTTAAGAGTTTAATCTCTCAAAGCCCACCATGAATTGAATACTTCCTCCAACATGGCTGTGCCTCATAAACATTCTGGAAAAGCACCACCAACTGGGAAACAAGTGTTCAAATGTGGGAGCCTATGTGGGACATTTCTTACTCAAAGTTGGAAATAGGAGATACTCCAAGTGGTGCTGAAATTTTATTTTATGAGGCAAGCTATGGCTGTTTCCTGTTCTTTGGTGGTGTGTGAGAACAGAAAGATTTCACTATCAGGGTTGAAATGGTGATGAGCCTTGGGCCCACAGACTGGTTGAATGTAGAGAAATAAAATGGAGTCTACAAAAGATACTAAAAGGCTAGAGATTTAGACAAGTTAGATAACCCACATGAAATTGTGGTTTTGAGTCTCAGCATCAAATAAATAAAGTACACAGTAGATGCTTGTAATCCTAGAACTCAAGAGGTAGCAGAAGGAGGATCCAAGTTTCAAAGTCATCTCTGTCAATATAGAGATTTCCAGGTCAACCTATGCTATATCTCTTTGGCTTTTTTTTTTTAAATAGTCTCTGAGACCTGGGAAGGAGAAAATTCAGGGACTCTATGATGGTGACTCTATCTGAGACTCTTCACAGTAGGTGTTATGGAGTCTGTAGTTCCACTTCCTGTAGCCAGGTAGGACTCCCAGTGGAAAGATAAGGACAACAAATCATCCACAAAACCTTTTGCCAACAAGTGTCCTGCTTACAATATGTGCAGGGACAAAGATGGAGCAGAGACTAAGAGAGTGGGCAATCAATGACTGGACAAAATTGAGATACACATCATGGGCAAGAAAAATTCCCTGACACTATTGATACTCTGATATGCTTGCAGACAAGAGCCTAGAATAACTGTACTCAGAGAGGCTCTACCCAGCAGCTGATTAAAACAGATGTAGAAATCCACAGCCAAATATTAGGTAGAGCTCTGGAAGTCTTGTGGAAGAGTTGTAGAAAGAATTGAGGGACCCAAAAATATAAGAACTCCAGAGGCAGACCACCAAAGTCAACTAACCTGGACCTTTGGGCATTTTCAGAGACTGATCCAGTAACCAAAAACTGTCATGAACTAGACATAGGTCCCCTTCAAAAATGTAGCAGATGTGCAGCTTAGTTTTCATGCAGGTCCCCCAACAACTAGAGCCAGGACTGTCCTGTAATCTGTTTCCTGTCTGTAGATCACATTCCCCTTACTGGGCTGCCTTGTCTGGCCTCAGTGGGAGAGGATGTACCTAGTCCTGAAGATACTTGATGTGTCACGGTGGAGAGATACCCTGGGGGCACCTACCCATTCTCAGAGAAAAGGGGGATGGAGAAAAATCTGAGGGAGGGGGATATTGAGAGGAGAGAGGTGCGACATATTGGGATATAACATGAATAAATAAATTAATTAATAAAATAAATATCTCTGAGTTCCCCCATCTCCTATTTTTCACAGGATATTCACCATTTCCTTTGAGGAAACATTCAAGATAAGTTCCCAGTGACTCTGGATTCTTCACAAGGTTTGACTTACCCCAGAAAAAATAACCAGAATCAAGAACATCTCTGTTATTTCTGATGAGATAGACTTAAATGGAAAAAATGTAGATGAAGATCAATAGTCATTCATTACCTTTTAACTGGTACAGTTTATAAAAAATGTCAGTAAAATATGCAAGGATTTCTAAAAATATACATTATCTTTATTGGGTAAAACATATACACGAGTGAAAAAATAGTTATAACTTGTCTTTTCTAATTTGATTTATAAAAATGAAACAGCAAAATGACTAGTTCATTAACAGTGTAAAAATCTCAAACCAGACTTATTAGACAGTTTTAAAGATCACAATCATAACTGGTTATCCGACACCAAATGCTCTGCCAATATAATTTGCATACAATTAACATTGTACTGACTTGAAGGTTGTACTGAAGGATTTCAGAATATATAGATTTATTTAGGAATTTATTGACTATTTATTTACTTATAAATATATTGTACATAGTAGAAACAGATAAATATATATCTATATATATATATTCATATATATGCATATATATGTGTGTGTGTTGTGTGTGTGTGAGTGTGTGTGTGTGTGTGTGCATGTGTATGCAACATGAATTAATGAAAAAAGAAACCATAAATTTGAAAGAGAGAAAAGAAGAATATATCAAGGGATTTGGTGGGAAAAGGAGAAGGGGTTAATAATATATATAATTTTATTTTATTATTATTATTTCAAAACATAAAAGGAATAAATTAAAAATTATTCTTTTTGAAATGATTTATTTATTTTATGTGTATGAGTACACTGTAACTGTCTTCCAACATGACAGAAGGCTTCGGATCTCATTAGAGATGATCATGAGCCATCATCTGTTTGCTGGGAACTGAACTCAGGACCTCTGGAAAAGCAATTAGTGCTCTTAACCATGGACCCATCTCCCCAGCCCCAAATGTAATCATTCTTAATAAAAGAATACATTGTGTACCAATTATTCTAGAACTCATCTATTTAGGCTTCGGGTTCCTCAGCCAAAGGTTTCCTAAATCCAGATAAAACACAGAAACATATATGAATGGTCACAAATTCATTATGACATTTTAAAGAGAGATTATTCTAAGTTTGTCTTTTTAGTTTAAATATAAACTATTTATAGATTTTATGTTGGAGAGACTTACAAAGAAATTTTTTACTAACTAGGAGCTATGATAGGTCAGATCCTGGATATCTCTGATTTCTTCTAGTGATTTTCTTTCAGTTTCATGGGAGATTCCTGTGGCTACTGATCTCCATAGACACCTAGAGACAGCACGACACTGTGTGTACAACTGGCCTTTGAACATTGATGCCTGTGAGCAACTGTGTCTTAGGTGATTCACCTACAGGGCTTGGAGTATATGTTATATTTAAGATTGGCTCATTGACTTTGATGAAAATAATACAATAATATCAACTGTACATGAGAGTTTCAACTCTGCTTGGCCTATATATATAGTTCCTGAATCTTCTAGTGTGAAATTTCACTTTATTTCTTAAAGCTGCCCAGGATCACTGTGTGATGGTCCATATTCTGGTACTCTAATGTATTCTGAGGTGGGGAAACATCAGCATAACCTGGTGCATGAGAATCTCACCTCACCTTTACATTTCTGCAAGATGTACGAGGCCTGTCAGGGTAAAATAAGTTCAAAGAGTATTTGGTCAAAAAAAAATCTCAACCACTGGACACTGACCTTGGCCTTGGAACTGAAGAGAGACTTGGAGAAAAATGCATGGGAAGATGTGATTTCATGAGTCGTGGAGGGAGTGATTGGTAGGGATGCAGGAATCAGGATATAAAGTGAGTAAATAAAATAAAAGGTGTCTTAAAATATTTGTTGTATATGTTTTTCACTTTATTATTCAGGATTATTTCCAGTATATTTTAGACTGTTGTGAATGTGCTCATTGTTGACATTTAGGAATACTACAAATATTTTCATTACTGATTTTGATGAAGTTAACAGCCTTGATAGACAAGCAGGATACAGCATTTTCTGTCCATAATGAACACACCTCAATGGCAAAGGCAGACACTACCTCAGAGTAAAAGGATTGAAAAAGGAGTTTCAAGCAAATAGGCCTAAGAAACAAGTAGGAGTTGCCATTCTAACATACAATAATATAGCTTTTCAACCGAAAGTTATCAAGTGCAATGGGGGAAGGACACTTCATATTCATCAAAGGAAAAATCTACCAAGGGAAAGTCTCAATTCTGAACATTTATGCCCCAAATCTAAAGGCAATCACGTTCATAAAAGAAACTTTACTAAAGTTTGAAACACACATTGAAACCCACACAATACTAGTGGGAGATTTCAAAGCACAGAAACTTCTAACCCAGAACATCCAGGGAATCCAAGACCCATTGACAAGACCAAGCCTAAGAATAATAAAAATAGAAGACAGCAATGATGGTCTGTGCAGGTGCCCTGAGCAGACCTTGAATGTCAGCTCTGCACCCAATCCCCCAAAGCCCAGAGGAGACTGGACTCTCAGGAGCTCTAACACTCTCAGAATCATAGGTGAGGAGGCAGCTACACTTACCCCAAACAGGTAGTAACTGGGACCCACAGGGACCCAGGATCTAACTTCCACCCAGTGGCAAAGATTCCTTCCTGTCAGCACCAGTGTTCTGGGCAGAATTGAGTGTCAGTTCTGCATTCAATCCTACAAAGCCCAGGGGAGGCTGGACTATGAGGAGCACTAACACACCAAGGAACACATAGGATCACATGATCTCAGGAGATTGGTCAAACCAGAATTTCAGGATCCCAGAGTCAGCAAGACTCCCAGCAGCTCTTACACCCAGAATTTCAATATCACAGGGATGACCCTGGACATGAGACAGCTGGACTCTGAGGAGTTCTGACACAACCAACATAACAGGAAAGGCAGCCTCCAATTAGAGACAGTGAGTGCAGGCAGCACTAAAGATAACCAGATGGCATAAGGTATGAGCAAGAACATGAACAAAAAGCAACCAAGGTTACTTGGCATCATAAGAACCTAGTTCTCTGACTACAGCAAATCCTGAATACCCACCCTATCACACTGTAAAAGCAAGCGTCAGATTTAAAATCACTTCTCATGATGATGATAGAGTTCTTTAAGAAGAATTCCATTTTAATATTTAATAACTCTATTAAAAATACAAGAGAACACAAGTAAACTCATAGAAGCTGTTAAAGAACAAACACAAAGACTCTTAAAGAATTACAAGAAACACAACCAAATAGGTGAAGGAGTTGAACAAAACCGTCTAGGACATAAAAATGGAAGTAGAAACAATAAAGAAATAACAAAGGGAAACTATCCTGGAGACAGAAAACCTAGGAAAAAGATCAGGAAAAATATGCAAATATCATAACAGAATGCACGAGATAAAAGGCAGAAACACAGATGCAGAAATCACCATAGAAAAATACTGACACAAGTGTGAAAGAAAATGCAAAAGTCTTCTGACTCGAAACATCCAGGAAATTCAGGACACAAGTGAAGTCTAAACATAAAGATAATAGGTATAAATGAGAGTGAAGATTCCCAACTTAAAGGGACAATGAATATCTTCAACAAAATTATAGAAGAAAATGTCCCTAACCTAAAGGAAGAGATGCCTGTGGGCATAGAAGAGGTATACAGAACTCTAAATAGACTAGACCAGGAAAAAGTTCTCGTATTACATAATAATCAAAACACCAAATGTGCAAAACAAAGAAAGAATATTAAAAGCAGTAAGGAAAAAAAGTAAATAACTTATAAAGGTAGACAGACCTATCAGAAATACACAAGACTCTCGCCAGAGACTAGAAAAGCCAAAAAATTTTGGACAGATGTCATAGAGACCCAAAGAGAACACAAATGTCAGCCCAGGCTACTGTACCTAGTAAAACTCTCAATTGTCATAGACAGAGAAACTAAGATATTTCATCACAAAGCCAAATTTATACAATATCTTTCCACAAATCCAGCCCTACAAATGTTAATAGAAGGAACACTGCAACACAAGAAGAGAAATTATTCCCTAGAAAACAAGAAAGTAATCTTCTTCCAACAGACCCAAAAGAAGATAACCACAAAAACATAATTCCATAACAGGAAGCAACAATCACTATTCCTTAATATATCTCAATGCCAGTGGACTCAATTCCCCAATTAAAAAAACATAGACTAGCAGACTGGATACATAAACAGGACCCAGCATTTTGCTGCATACAGGAAATGCACCTCAGTGACAAAGACAGACACTACCTCAGAGTAAATGACTGAAAAACATTTTTTCAAGCAAATGGTCCCAAGAAACAAGCTGGAGTAGCCATTCTAATATCGAATAAAATCAACTTTCAACTTAAATCTATCAAAAAAGATAAAGAAGGGTACATCATACTCATCAAAGTAAAAGTCAACCAAGATGAACCCTCAATTCTGAACATCTTTGCTCTAAGTACAAGGGCACCCATATTCATAAAAGACACTTTACAAAAGCTCAGAGTACATATTGCACCTCACACAATAATAGTGGGAGACTTCAACACCCCACTTTCAGCAATGGATAGATCATGGAAACAGAAACTAATTAGAGACACAGTAAAACTAACAGAAGTTATGAACCAAATGTATTTAACACATATGTAAAGAATATTTCATCCTAAAACAAAAGGCTTTTTCTCAGCACCTCACAGTATCTTCTCCAAATTGGACCATATATTTGATCACAAAACAGGCCGTAACAGGTACAAGAAAATTGAAATAATACCATGCTTTCTATCTGGTCAACATGAACTAAGACTGGTCTTAAATAATGGCAAAAACAATGGAAAGCCCTCATACACATGGAAACTCAACAACATTCTACTGAATGATAACTTGTTCAGGAAAGAAATAAAGAAATTAAGAACTTTTTAGAATTTAATGAAAATGAAGGCACATTATACAAAAACTTAAGGAACACAATGAAAGCAGTGCCAAAAAGAAAACTCACAGCTCTAAGTGCCTGCAAAAAGAAACTGGATAGAGCAACTTTATAGTACACCTGAAATCTCTAGGACAAAAAGAAGCAAATACACCTAAGAGGAGTAGACAGCATAAAATAATCAAACTCAGTGCTGAAATAAACCAAGTAGAAACAAAAAGAACTATACAGAGAATCAACAAACCAGAATCTGTTTCTTTGAGAAAATCAACAAGATCGATAAGCCATTAGCCAGTCTAACTGGAAGGCACAGAGACAGTATCCAAATTAACAAAATCAGGAATGAAAATGGAGACATAACAACAGAAACCGAGGAAATTTAAAAAAAAAGCAGATCTTACTACAAGAACCTATACTCAACAAAACTGGAAAGTCTGGATGAAATGGACAATTTTCTAGAGAGATACTGGGTGCCAAAATTAAATCATGAACAGATAAACTATCTACACAGTCCCATAGCACCTAAAGAAACAACAGGAGTCATTAAAAGTCTCTCAACCAAAAAAAGCCCAGGACTATATCATTTTAGTACAGAATTCTATCAGATCTTCAAAAAGGACCTAATACCAATTACCTTTAAATCATTCCACAAAATAGAAATCCAATTTATTCTATGAAACTGCAATTACACTCAGACCTAAACCACACAGAGATCCAACAAATAAAGGAAATTTCTGATCAATCACCCTTATGAATATTGATGCAAAAATACTCAACAAAATTCTTGCAAACTGAATCCAAGAACAAAAGAAAACAATCACCCACCATGATCAAGTAGGCTTTATCCAAGGAATGCAGGGATGGTCCAATATATGGAAGTCCATCAACATAATCCACTATATAAACAAACTCAAAGTTAAAAAATACATGATCATCTTACTAGATGCTGAGAGAGCATTTGACAAAATTTAACACCTCTTCATGGGAAAAGTCTTGGAAAGACCAGGAATTCAAGGCCCATATCTAAACATTGTAAAAGCAACACACAGCAAAACAGTAGCCAATATCAAACTAAATGGAGAAAAAATTGAAGTGATCCCACTAAAATCAGGGACTAGACAAGGCTTCCCACTCTCTCCCTACCTATTCAATATAGTACTCAAAATTCTAGCTGGACCAAATATGCAACAAAAGGAGTTTAAAGGGATACAAATTGGAAAGGAAGAAGTCAAAATTTCACTATTTGCCAATGATATGAGAGTATACTTAAGTGACCCCCAAACTTTCATCAGAGAACTGCTAAACCCGATTAACAATTTCAGGAAAGTGTCTGGATGTAAATTTAACTCAAACAAATCAGTAGCTTTCATTTACTGAAAGGATACACAGGCTGAGAAAGGGGAAATTACAACCTTCACAATAGTCACAAATAATATAAAATGCCTCGGTGTGAATCTAACCAAGCAAGTGAAAGGTCTGTATGACAAGATCTTCAAGTTCCTGAAGAGAAAATTGAAGAAGATCTCAGAAGATGGAAAGATCTCCTTTGCTTATGGATTGGCAGGATTAATATAGGAAAAATGGCCATCTTGCCAAAAGCAATCTACAGATTCGATGCAATCCCTGTCAAAATTCCAACTCAAGTATTCATAGAGTTTGAAAGAGCAATTCTCAAATTCATTTGGAATAACAAAAAACTCAGTATAGCAAAAACTATTCTCAATAATAAAAGAACATCTGGGGGAATCACCATACCTGACCTCAAGCTACACTACAGAGCAATACTGATAAAAGCTGCATGATATTGGTACAGAGACAGGCAGGAAGATCAATGGAATAGAATTGAAAACCCA